GGGGTGCAGGCCCAGGAGGGCCGGGTGGAGGGGCCGCGCTGCGGGGTGCAGGCCCAGGAGCACCTTCGGTTCTGCTCAGGGTCTCCAGCAGGACGCTGTACTCGCGCACTTTCTCTGTGTGATGTTTCAGCTCCCGCCACAGCTTCTCTAACTCTTCACTGGAGAACTTTCCAGAGGTCTTCGCCTGAGATGGAGAAAGGGCCCAAGTGAAAACTCCTCAAGAACCGCATGGACCCACCCGTCCGAGCCCCAGCGGCCGGTCCCTGCTCCCGGAGGTACGTCCCTGTCAGGCCCAGGGACTCACAGGGCCAGCCCTCACACCCGCGTGCCTGCACCAGGAGGTGCGTGTGGCAGGAAAACAAGAGGGGAAGAGCAATTCTGCGTCTGAGGCTCGGTGCGGGGACAGCTACACTGCGCGGCTGTGGTGTGGAGGGGGCAGGTCTCTCCCTCCCTCCCCACGGTGGCTGGGGCCCATCCCCCATGACCACGGAAGATGGGGGGACGAGAGCGCCAATGTTCAGACCCTAATCGATGTGCCTCAGGAGGGGGCTCTGGACCAGGAGCCGGACTGAGCCAACGCCTCGTCGGCAGACCCCAGAGCCTGAGCCCGGCCCCCACCCACACAGAGGTTTGTGCACCACAGAGAAGCGCATGTGGAGGCCAGCGCTGCCTCAACCCTCCCCGAACACCATGGTGAGGCCACCCCATTCTCTGTCTGCCTCAAGGGTTCTGGGAAATTAAAAGTAATACGCTCTCGCCATACACAAAGACAAACTCAAAATGGATGAAAGACCCGAATGTGCAAACTAAAACCACAGCATCTGTAGACGAACGGCAAGGGCAACACTGTCAGGCCTAGCACTCAGCAATGGACTATCTCATAACAAAAGCACACACAGCAAAAGACAAAGTAAATAAATGAGACCTTATAAAAATGAAAAACTTTTGTTCTTTAAAAGACTTTACCAAAAAAGTGAAAAGACAAGCTACCCACTGGGACAGTATCTTTGGAAACCATGTATCTGACAAGAATCTAATAACCAAAATATATATACAACTTCAATAACTTAATGACAAAAAGACAAATAACCTAAACATAAAATGGGAAAAGGACTTGAACAGACATTTCACCAAAGAGGACATTCAAATGGCCAGCAAACGCATGAAAAGATGCTCAGCGTCATCAGCCATCAGACAGATGCAAATCAAAACCCCAATGAGATGCCATTTCACTCCCACTAGGCTGGCTAAGATTAAAAAAACAGAACACCAGAAAATAACGTGTTGGTGTGACGGTCAGTGTTGTGTGTCAACCTGGCTGGAGATGATTCTCTGTGGTCTGGCAGTTTTGATGTAGCTAGGCAGCCTTTTAATGATGTAATCACCTCCATAATGAGATCTGATGTAATGTGATCACCTCCATGATGAGCTCTGTTGTGAGCAGCCAGTCAACTGAAGGGGAGTTTCATTGGGAATGTGACCTGCATCCAATATAGGTGGACTTCCCGGCAAGGGTCGCTGGCCATTGCTTGCTCTGGATCCTGCAGCTGGCTCCTGTTCATCTGACCTCTGATTCTTGGGACTTGAGCCAGCAGCTTACCTGCCAATCTTGGGATTCATCAGCCTCTACAGCCTGTGAGCCAGAGGCCTCCTATCTGACCTTCTGATCTTGGGCTCACCATAATCTGTGGCTATGTGAGTTGGGCGAAGCCTCCGGCTTGACCCACAAACTTGGGACTTTCCAGCCTCTACAACCGTGTGAGTCATTTCCTTTACATAAATCTCTCTCTCTCTATATATATATATATTTATCTGCTGCACTGGTTTTGCTTCTCTAGAGAACCCAGCCTAAGACAGTGAGGATGTGAGGAAACTGGAATCCTTACCCATTGCTGGTGGGAGTGCAAAATGGTACAGCCATTGTGGAAAACAGTGTGGTGGTACCTCAAAACACACCAATGTTCACTGCAGCACTATTCACAATAGCCAAAAGGTGGAAACTACCTCAGTGCCCATCAGCAGATGATGGATAAACAAAATGGAGAACAAAAATACAATGAACTGCTACTTGGCCAGTGGGAGAAACGAAGTCTCGATAGATGTTATAGCACGGACAGAGCTGGGAGACTTTATGCTGAGCAAAAGAAGCAAATCACAAAAGGACAAATACTGTATGATCTCACTTCTATAAAAAGAGAAGAAAGGGCAAATATACAGAGACCAAAGTTTATGAGTGGTTACCAGGGGCGGGAGGGAGGGGGAAAAAGGGGGTTAATGGTGATGGAAAAATTGCATTGTTTATGGGTAGGGTTGCACAGCCAATTATTGTTAATTGCTGTTAATAAGTTGTACACCTATAAAAAGTTGAACGCTTGGGGATATAGTTACCCCAATGACAAAAAAAAGAGTAGCTACTGAGGCTGCTTATGTACAACCAAACACCTCATGGGATTCGGTTCCTTGGCTTGGAGGTTCAGGGTCCTAGTTTGATGAGACATCCCACTTAATTGGCCTAATAATGTGTTTAGTGCCTCTCTTCTACCTCCTAGTTTGCTGTGTAGCGCGTGGGGTCTTAAAAGCTTGCAAGCAACCATCCAAAGCACAACACCTTGTCTCTATCTGCCTGGAACAACAGAAGGAGAGTCAAGAATTGGAGGAAGAAATGGAATGTGTGGCTAACTGTCTCCATGAACAACTGCCTCCTCTGCCATGAGACCAGAAGAACTGGATGTTGCCTGGCTACCATTACTGAACATTTTGATCAAAGACGCCATACATGAATCCTGATCAAAAGGGGGAAAACGCAGAACAGAATTTCACATTCTCATGCACTCCAGACTTTCTGGAGCCATGGAGGGTGTATAAACCCCTGAAACTACTGCCCTGAGATAATCTTTAAACCTCCAACCAAAAACATTCCCTGAAGTCTTCTTAAAACCAAACAATAGTTTAGCTTAACTAGTAAAAAAGATCTGCCTTGAGCACTATGCTCTTTGAAAGATCTATATGGGATCAAACTGACAATAGCAACTCAAAAGATTAGATAGGAACCTGAGAGAGCAGTGAGTTTATGTTAATGGGGGAGGAACAACTCAGAAAAGGAGGGTGAAAATGGTTGCACAACTCAAAGAATGTGATCAGTGTCACTAAACTGTACATGTAGAAACTGTTCTATGGTGTACGTTTTGCTGTGTATATTCTCTGCAATCACAAAATAAATAAACTTTAGAAGGGAAAAAAAATCAAATCTCACACCAGAGTAAAACTCCAGCCCGTGCTGTGCCAGGCCCTGTGCGGTGTGACGACGTGCTACAAAGCATCTCTCCGTATCTGAAGGTCTCCCACACACGGTTAGGCGCTCCACTACTGGCCGAAAGCTCGGCAGTTCAAACCCATCCAGGCCTGGGGGTCTGCTCCTGAAAGGTCACAGCCTTGAAAACCCTACAGAGCAGTTCTACTCTGCGCACACGGGGCTGCCAGGAGTCAGAATCGACTCGCTGGCCACCAGTGACACTAAGGGCGACATGCTGAACAGAAGTCCTCTGCTGAGGACGAAATGCTCACTGCGTGAGAACAGTGCCTGACAGGAAAGGAGACTGTTCGCAGGAAAACGAAAATCACAGAAAGAGCCTGGCGGCTTCACTAGGGAGCCCCTGTATCCACGAGACTCCCCCACCTTATGGGGTTCCCCACACAGCAAACACGGCCTTTCTCAAGGGTAGAGCAGAAGCAGAGCCCCCAGCAGCCCCCATCCCTAACCGTCCACGCGACAGTATAAACATGGGTTTCTGGAAGAAGCCAAGGGTACCTTGTGCCACAGCTTCTCCAGCCGCGGGTCTTCCAGGCCCTCCTCCTCGGTACCGTCCTGGAGGTAGTTGGTGTTGACCACCTGGGCGTCCTTCCTCCCGTCCAGCCTGTACTTGGCCAAGATGACTAGAGAGAAACAGAAAGGCTTTACCAGTGGTTTCCTCAGTCTGCGTGACGCCCGGGTCTGGGCTTCCACACATGCCCGCTACTCGAACCCCTTGCTTTCCGGCAGCCTTGCCCTCACCTCAGGTTCTGGGTGACAAGCCTGGACACCCCTGCCCCCCGAGACAAGGCTGCTGTGTATTCCTCTCCCAAGGCACCCGCCTGACTCCTCCATCGACCGCGCTGAGTCAGGGTGCCACGGGCGGGTACTGCTGGGACAAAGGTCCCTGGTGGGACTATTTTTACGGTCAGCTTCACAGACCTTCCAGTCCCAGCGCTGAGTAACGGCTGGCTGGGTGGATGGGAGCAACGGCTGGGGGATGGTTTTCTGACAATCAAAATCATGTTTTTACTTAAGGGAAAACACTTCCTAAAGGAATCTGGCTGCAAAGTCAGCTGGGCCAGCCCTAAGCCAGGCAGCAGCTCTTGCAGACAAGTCCTCTGCTGGTCTCCCTGGAACTCGGTCGTCCTGGCCAAGCCCCCCACCATTTTCTCCTCACCCAGGCTGGCCTAACCACACCAACCTTCGTGGGGTGGGCTGACCCCTCTCCTCCTTCCTCTGGGCGGGGCGGGGCTCTACCAGGCCCCACTGCCCCCAGGGCTGCATCCCAGCCTCCAGGAGCCCCAAACCTGGCTCCCTTCCAGTTGCAACCACCTCAGCCATCCTCGGTGACTTCATTGTCTGAGCTGGTGACCCACCTGACCTCTGCCACAGCCCCTCCTGGACCTGAGCCCCTCGTAGACAGCCCCCACACGGCTCTCCTGAAATTCTGCCTCCACAGCCCCCCGCCTGGCACCTCCTCCTCTGCCCCCACCCCTCACCTGCACCCCTACTGTGAATCCACAGGGGCCTCCAGCCCTGACTCCTCACTCTGTCCCATCCTCTGTCCACCTCCAGCCTCCTGGGGTCAAATCCTGCTATATCCCTCACTGGCCGAGGGAATGAGGCTGAGTCAATGCCCTGCACCTCAGCTTCTCACCTGGACTCAAGGAGAACATCTGCACCCACACCACCACCGGGGGTGCAAGCCGAGACGGCACAGACCTTGGACAGGTCCCAGGCAGCAGTCTGCCCCTACCACCTGGTCTGAAGGCTCCGGATGGGGCTGTCACCCTCTGAAGTCACCCTAACAGGCTCTCGATCTATGAGATTCTGCCACCCATTTGTACACAAGGACCCTCTGAAGGGCCGAGGCTGGCCCCAGAGCCTTGTGGTGCAGCTGCCCGATCACCCATCTGTATACAAGGACCCTCTGAAGGGCTGAGGCTGCCCCGTGGGCGGGCGGGCAGTCAGCACTGGGAGCCCACCAAGAGAGGAGAGCGGGGCATCCCCAGTGAGCTGAATGGCCGCGGAGAGCTGGCCCTGGGCATCTCCCGAGGAGGCCTGCTTCTGCTCAAGCTCAGCTCCTCCCTGCTGACTCACTGCCCCAGGTCGCCCAGTAACCACGTGCTCTTATGGTGGGATAAGCAGCCCGGGTCCTCCACCCCAAACACGCCAGGACGCCCATCCGGCCCCTGCTCCTCTGGCAACCTGGGTCCCTTCACCCTCCTCTCAGAACGATGGCACAGCAAGCCCCAGTCTGGAACCTGGTCAGGGGCACCAGACAGTCTGTGCTAGTACCTGTGACGGTGGCGAGGGCCAGCCTGGCACAAGGACCTCCAGCCTGGACCCTGTCCTGGCCTTTCAATTCACTGGGACCCTGTCACTCTGCTGAATCCAGCCTTGTTCCTGGCCTCCTGCTCAGGCCCAGGTACCAGCTCCCACAGGCCCAGAGGGCAGGTGGACACACACACACCCCACACAGCAAGGTGCACACAGCACACACACACCCTTGTTCCTGGTCTCCCGTCTGAGGTCTCCTGCCCAAGCTCAGGTACCAGGTACCACCAGCCCAGAGGACAGAGAGACACAACACACACATCCCACACGTGTACGCACACCATAAATGCACACGATCACACACACGTGTACACCCATGCACACCCCCCACGCACACACACGCTGATAAAAGGAAGACGAGCTCAGAACCACCAGCCCCGGATGTGCCTCTGAGCTTCTCCGTGACGCGTGGGCATGCGTGTGGACCTGCCTCAGCCGCTGACGGTCTAGCCGGCGCTGAGGGGCCGAAGGACAAGGGGGAAGGCACACGGGAGGGGCCTGAGAAGCAACCACAGCCCGTTTGCCCAACTGCTTTTTTCAAACCCCTGGGCCCTGAGAACACGTGTCTCGTGAGCCCTGGTAGCTGAGCGGATGACTGCCCCATCCCTCCTTGAAGACTCAGCAAAGAGCAACTCCTGGCCTTGCGCCACAGCCCACAGGAAGCCGCTCTCCTACCAGACCTCGGGCGTGGCCCCCATAACCTCCAGACCCTGGGACACACCCGTGCCGTCTGCTGTCCCCACCTGCCCCGAACTCCCTGCGTGTGCTGACAATACTCAGAGAATGCCGGGGTACGGGGCCCGGCCCTCCAGCATGCTGTCCTTGGAGCCAAGCGACCATGAGGCCGCACCGGCCGGCCGCCCCCCTCGGTCAGCCACAGCGTATCGTGGAACGGCATCAACAGAACCGGCCGACCAGGAACGAGAGGCCTGTGGCGGCTCCCTTCATGTTAAAAACAAAGATACCGTGGAGATTGCGGATGAGTCTGGCCTCCTTCTCCCCATCTTCGTCCAGCCCTTCGATCTTCAGCTTCTTCCAGCTGAGCTCGTCCCGCTCCTGAATCTTCAGGTCAGCGTGGAGCTCGGCCAGCTTCACGGGGGAAAGGTGGAGCTGGAAGGAAGGCAGGAGAGAGGATGAAGGCCGGCACGTGGCGACCAGCACACCCGCAAGAAAGCAGGCCTGGAGCGCTGCGGGGCCAGACACGAGTGTCAGGGTAGAGACTGCAGAGCCCGGGTCACTGACAACACAGTACACACGGGGAACCACCAACGGGGGCCGCTCGGGGCCACGTTCCAGACACGGCATCACCCAGAAACCCAAGTCCACCCAACAGCTTCCCCGGGGACAGTGGCCTGACTGCACAGACCCAGGAAGGAGCTGCCTGCTGCTCGCGGCCTCACCCGCGCCTCTGCTGTGGGCCGTGGGCTTGGCAGAGACACGTGGGCGAGCAGGTGCACCTCACAGGAACGGGCCGCTGTCCACTGTCAGCCTCCTCTGACACGGAGAAGCCTCAGCCATCAGGGTGGACAATGCCCCGCTTGGCAGAGGCCACAAATCAGCAGGAAGTGACCAGAAGGGAGGAAAAGACAGGTCAGTGACGAGACCTGGCACCATTTCCCGGACCCTTCTCTGGATACTGAACTTTAACATTTCAAGTTAAAAGAAAGTTAACAGAAAGCAAATGCCAGAAAAAATCTGTCAAACTTTAGGCAGTAAGGCAACCAGCCGTGACCGCTAGACAAGCCGACGTGTGGAGAGGGCCGCGCGCCTGGACCCAACGACCCCCATCCTGGGCCGGAGCACCGAGTCACGTGCGTGTCAGACGCCTGCTCCTGAGACTCTCCAGCCAGCCCCGTCCGCATCCTCCCGACACTCAGGTGGAGGACGGCCCTCCCTCTGGAGACGTGGAGACGGCCCCGTCAGGCGGCAGGCGCGAGAGCCTGTCAGTCTCACCCCCGAGGGCTGCCTTCCCTCTGCCCCCAGGAAGCGGAGGAGGGCGGGGGCGGGGGGAGCGAGCCCAGACCCTGGAGCTGCAGCTTGCTAGGCTGGTGTCCACCTCCCCAGCCGCCAGCTCAGGGGGCACAGGGGACCATGGTTGGGGGGGGCAGACGGTGGCTCACGTGTTCCCGGGCGTGCTTAATATCAGCGCTTCCGGGTGCTGGCCCGAGACCGTCAGACAGCAAGGCCCCACCTCACGGGCAGGACATGGCCACCTGGCAGGTGCTATGGCCTGCCTGCTGCAGACACCGCCACAGCGCAGGGCAGCGGGGCCCGGGTGCCCCTTCCAGCCAATTGCCTGTGCCCGGCCTTCAGTCCTCCAAGCTCCAGGACAAGAAGGCCTGTCCGCCGACCTCACGCTGCTGTGAGGAGACCATCCCACCATGGGTCCCGCCAGGGGCAGGTCTGGAAAATTCTCTCCCACTGCAGAGGGTCAGAGAGGCTGCAGCTCGGCCCTGGCTGTCCTCTCCTGCCCTCAGCGTCCTTGCTTGGACCCTGATGCCCAGGGGACAAGAGCATGGACACACACAAAAGCAGTGACAAGCAGGTGTTCTGGTGTCCTCAGTACCTACAGAGGTGAGCACCCTGCACGCCTGACTGCATGCCTTGCTTCTCTGGACACACCGGCCTTCCACACAGCCTGATCACTCAGGCCTGATGACAGCCTAAGTGACCAGGCCCGACCGTCCCCTCCCAGGCCCGACCGTCCCCTCCCAGGCCCGTGAGCCTCTGCACTGGCACAGTGTGGACCTGCTCCGGAATTTCCCCCAACACCCTGAATACATGGCCACCTGACGAGAGAAAACCAACCCCAAATCTCCATGAACACAGGGTGGTTCCACAAGAAGCCCCCTTGGAGAAGACTTCTGCCAGCTCGCCCCACCCCAGAGCCCCAGGCGGCCTCCCTCAACTGCAGTCTTGCCACACTCGAGGACGTCCCAGGCCCGCGCTGGTGGCAGAGGAAACCCAAGTTCCCATCATCAGCTCTCTCAGCACTTTACAACAGGAACCGGGTGGGTGACCTTGCAGAAAGCAAACCTGCAGATGCTGGGCGATGGCGCAACGGGCAGTCACCCGGTCCCCGAGATGGAGCGCATGCTCCAGAGTCTCCTGGGGCCTGCACCGTGCTGGCACGCGCATGACAAACAGGAATCCCACCCCCCGGGCCGGCGGGAATGCCATCAGACTCTGTCTGCCCTACATTCCGGGACACACATGTGCTGAAGGTCCCAGGAGAAGGGCCTGGAGACCTGCTTCCACAAGGTCACAGCCACTGCAAAGTCCCTGGAACACGGCTCTACCTGACACACACAACCGGTCACGATACACTACGATACAAAGTCACACAGGAAACAAAACAGCAATGCGTTCATACGTTCATACACCGAATCACAGAAAGGATACGATCTTCTCGGCTGGTGCGTGAAAGTTACAAGGTAGGTTATGAAAGGCTTCTCTGTAACAGCAGAGTTCACCTGCCCCAGGTAAGTGCCTGCAGCTAAGGAGACCACCACTCAAGAAGGCCCCCCTTTCTCCACATGCACGAGCGGCACTGGGCTCTGGGTAGGCAGCAGAGGTTGACAAGGATGTGTGCACAATTCCCAGCCTATGCCGACTGATGACAGCACCATGGGCCTCTTGTCCCCACTGTGCTCGTGGCCACTCCACCCCAGGACCCTGGCCCTGCAAAGAGCAAGAAATGAAGCCTGACAACCACCCAGATGAATATCACCACCATCGGTCACGTTCACAACAAGGATGAGGACGGTGACTGTGAGCCAGGTTGAGGGCCCCCTGGCCAGGCCAGGGCCTAATGCCTCTGGAACCAGCGTGGAGGGCCCGGCTCTACCCACCACACCATCAAGAAGGAAAACACCAGGCAGCACGGCTCACTAGTGTGCCCACCAGGCACGGGCTCCCCAGAAGCAGGGTGGGCAACAGGAATGCCCTGGAGCACCTTCAAATTCTGTTCGGCAAAAAAGACGTTCTCAGGACTAGTACCTCAGGGCTGGGGGAAAGGCCATCAGGTCTGATAGCCGAGGACTCGGCACCAGGCGGGGCTGGGGGGCTTCCCTCAATCAGGCCTTGGGAGAGCTGGGATGTGAGACCTAACAGCATGGGCCAGGTGGGCGGAGTGCGGGAGAGCAGGCAGGTGAGGAAGCCACAAGAGAAGGTGAGGAAGATGCCCAGGCCAGGCCTGGGTCCACCAGGGAAGCACAGGCACAGCAGCCCAAGGGCCCAGCAGGGCTGACCTAGCCAGCTGCGGGGTGGGTAGAGGGCTGGGGGCCAGAGTCCAAGAGCAAAGGGGCACCCTGCAGGTTCTGGGGCTCCAGCACACACTACCCCAACACAACCAGTCACTTCCCCGTTGGTTCTCAAATCCTCAGCCTGCCTGTCAGGCAACGACAGGTGTAAGGCATGCCCATCACAGGTGGGCCACTCAGGGGACAAAGGTGAGCAAGGGAAGGCCCTGGCCAGCAGGCTGTCACTCCTGTTCCCTGCTGCTTGGAGGCGTTCCTACCCTCAAATCAGGCCTGTGTCCCCAGGCCCTCCAAAGCCCCTCCATCGCCACCCCTCCAGCCCAAGTGCCCGCCACCCCACCCCCCAGCAGAATCCTTTCAAGGACACAAGTCTGGGCACAGTGCTGGGCCAGGGAGAAGCCCTCGGAGGGCCTGCTGGATGGATCACCTGGCATCAATCTGGTGCCCCCGAGGGCAGTCTTCCTCCACCCGTCCCTCCTTCCCTGCCAGCTTCTCCTCTTCTCTCTTCCAAAACTTAGTCCTTACTTCTCAGCTATTTACTCTCCTCTCAAAGACTCTAGCAAGCCATAACAGACCATCTAATCTGCCCCTCCTCATTTCAGAGATAAAGCTCCCAGGCCCCCGGGGAACAAGGAAACAGGCATTTCACTAATGACAAAGCCATTATGTTCATGGGGAGGGTGGCTTGTCCAGGGTCTCACAACCTTAGAAAGCTGCAGGCCAGACCCTGCTCCTACCGGCTCGGTGGCCTAGGGGGAGGGGCCTTCCTCCAGGTCTCAAGATCTTCATCTCTGCAATGAAGGTCAAGGTGATTGCTCATCTCCTGGCTTTTAGCACTCCTTGGGTCTTGTGTTTTATGTCTTCTAAGCCTAACCCATCTCCTCCAACCTCACCATACCCTCTCCCCAAGTGAACAACAAAGAACCGCTGCCGTCCCCCACATGCCTTTAGGCCCAAGACCATCGAATAACCGTAGCCAGCTGAGGTGCAGTCACCTCTCATTCAAAATGAGCTCCAAAGGGTTTTCAGTGGCTGAGTTTTCAGAAGTAGACAGCCAGGCCTTTCTTCTGAGGCATCTATGGCTGGATTTGAACCCCAACCTTTCAGGTAGCAGCATTAACGGTTTGTACCACCCATATAACCAAAACCTATTGCCGTCGAGTCGATTCCGACTCCTAGCAACCCTATACGGCAGAGTAGAACTGCCCCATAGAGTTTCCAAGGAGAGGCTGGTGGATTCAACTGCCGACCTTTTGGTTAGCAGCCATAGCTCTTACCCGCTGCGCCGCCAGGGCTCCTGTGTCTTTGTAGAGAGAGATATAATGCAAGAGAAAAGACAAAGAACTGGAAGGCAGATGAGCTAAGGCCCAGACCCTCTTCAGCAGGGGAAGGCAGCTTGTATGTACGGGGCAGGCTGGGGGTGGGGAACCAACCACCTGACCTTCCCGGGTCTGTCTTCGGCTGTGCTGACATCCCAGGAGACTGCTGGCACCGAGGCCTCAGCAAGCGTCGCCAAGGTCTGGGTCTCTAGTTTTTGCTGCAAACGGCTGCGTGATACCACCCGCCAGACACCTCAGTGACGATTCGCCAAGGGTTTAAGGGTTTGTACCCCACAAAAGCCCTAAGCGAGGCCAGGGGCCGGCACCACCTGTAAGAGGCCTTTTACAGGTCCTTTCACAGGCCCTCACCGCGGCCCTGGCGCCGGGCGGACTCGGAGCGCACCAGGCCGAGCCCAGGCCCGCCGTCGCGACAGAGGACTCTGCTCCCCGCCCCCGGGCCGCTCACCCGCTGGGCCTTCTCCCACAGCTGGTTCAGCTTCTCCATCCGGAACGCCTCCGGCTCGCGCTTCGCGGGCGGCGCGGGTTCGTTCTTCTCCCGCGAGTACTTGCCGCCGTGGCCGGCCGCCGGCGCGGGCCCGAGCAGCAGCAGCGGGAGCAGCAGAAGCTGGAACCCCCGTGACGCCATCTTCATCTGCGCCTGGGACCCGCGCGGCCCTCCGGGAGAACACCGAAGCCCCGCCCCCCAGGGCCCCGCCCCGCCGCGCCCCGCCGCGTGGACTTCTGGGGATTGTAGTCCCTCCCGGCCCTGCCGGCCGAGGCACGACCGCCGGCGAACTACACGGCCCAAGAAGCCCCGCGGTGGCCCGTGGGCGTTGCCCAGGCAACCACGCCGGGGCCTCGCGACGCCGGGCAGAACCGCAACTTTAGAGCGGGGCTGGGGCTCCCTAGAGACGTGGTATAGCTGCAGGAACTGCAATTTGGGGGGTTGTTGCGGGCAGGGGCAGGTGGCGCATTGATTAGGAGCTTGGCTGCTAACCAAAAGGCGAGCAGCTCGAAACCCTGTGGGGCAGTTCTACTTTGTCCTATAGGTCGCTATGAGTTGGAATCACTCGATGGCAACAGGTTTTTTGGTTTTGGGGACAGGGGGAGGTTTGGTTGAAGAAGATGCAGTCACTTCGGCACCCGGAACCCGGCCTCTTTCCCCGGTACTCCGTAGAAAAAGTGAAAAGTTCAGAAATCAGGACCCAGTCGGGCTGAAACTTAGAATGTCCCCATTTCAGCTACGTTAATACTGATTCTTCCTTGTCACTATGGGCTTAGGGAAGGCGCCAAGAGGCATCAAAGTTGCCGTCAGGAACCTTAGAACCGCCTAGCCCCACTCCTTCATCTTACACAGGAAAAAAACACTGAGACCCAGGGAGGGCCCAGGTGGTCCAAGGAGTGAACAGCAGACCGGAGTAGGTCCAGGTGACCTGGGCCTGCTCACTCACATCCCGCTGAAACTTATCCCGAGGATTCAGGAAGCACCTGCGCCTCACACTTACTCGGACTACATCCCAAACACTTCCTCTCCGTGCGCTTTTTTTAGGGATAAGTATTTGTATACCTGTCTCATTTGTCTCCACCCAACACTCACTAAGTCCACCGAGCAAACGTCAACACAGCTGATCTTGTGGGGCTTGGGGGAGAGGTGGGAGTCCCCCAGGAGGTAGAGGGGGAAACTGAGAGAAGGAGTGAGACAGAGTGCTGCCATCAGGAGCTCGAGCTGGAGAAGGAGGGACCTAGAGAGGGGGCAGGAGGGGGATCCGGTCAGGATGACCTGAAAAGGCCTCCAGGGGAGACAGAGCTTTCCAAGTGGGGGACAGTGAGGACAAAGGAAGGGGGTGGAGAAAGCCTGGACACCTGGGAGGAATCAACATTTATTCACTTAAAAAAAAAATTATTGTGAAAATATACACAACAAAGCATTTGCCAATTCAATTTCTACATGGACGATTCCAGTGTGGTAGCATTCCTGACTCTCCTTCTGGGATCATTCCACAACCATGAACATAAACTCACTGACCTCTGAGCAAAGACTCCCCTATCCCCCTCTCTCCCCCACCTGGTGACCAGTAATAATCTTTGGTTTCTACGTATTTGTTTATTTCATATACATGAGACCATATCACATCTGTCCTTTTCCGACTGACTTAGTTCACTCAGCATGATGTTTTCAAGATCCATTCCAGTTGTGGCATGCATCTGAACTTCATTTCTCTTTATGGCTGAGCAATATTCCATAGGGTCGCTATGAGTTGGAATTGACTTGACGGCACACGACAACAACATTCCGTTGTGTGTATGTACCACATTTTGGGTATTCATCTGCTGATGAACATTTCCGTTGTTTCTACCTTTTGGCTATTGTGAAAAGTGCTGCAGTGAACGTTAGTGTACAGATTTCTGTTTGTGTGCCTGCATTTATTTACTTTTAAACTGAACCCTGTGTTGTTTCAGAAAGACTTAAGTTGCCTGGACTCAAGGAGCGTCTTGCTCTTCTTGGCTGCCTGATGTCCAGTCTTGAGAACCATTGTTTCGATGGTTTGTCCAATTTTTTAGTTGCTTCAGGCAGGGGAGTAAATTCAGTACCTTTTACTCCGTCTTGTCCAAAAGCACAAGTTCCCAGCTCCTTGCCTTTTAATATTCAGTGCACTCATCCTGTGTGTTAGTTACGTTGTTGTGTGCAGTGGAGTTGATTCCAGTTCAAAGTGACCCTATAGGACAGAGTAGAACGGGCCCCGTAGGGTTTCCAAGGCCGTAATCTTTCCAGGATGTGGCAGTCTGCTTCCGCGAAGATTACAGCCTAGAAAACCCTATGGGCAGTTCTACTCTGTCACATGGGGTCGCTATGAGACGGAATCAACTCAATGGCAACTAACAAAATCAACAATCTTTATGGGAGCAGATCGCCATGTCTTTTCTCCCACCGAGCAGCTGGCGGGTTCGAACCACTGACCTTTCAGTTAGCAGCCAAGAAATTCACCACTGCACACCAGGACTCTCAGGTAGGTGGTTGTCGTTGTTAGATACCATTGAGACGATTCTGACTCATGGAAACCCCATGCACAACAGAACGAAAGACTGCCTGGTCCTGCGCCATCCTCACAATCGTTGCTATGTTTGAGCCCATTGTTGCCGCCACTGTGTCAGTCCGTCTCATTGCGGGCCCACCTCTTTTTCACTGACCCTCTACTTTACCAAGCATGATGTCCTTCTCCAGAGGCTAGCCCCTCAAATGCACAAAGGGCCCACAGAAGGTGACTTCCTGGGAAAAGGGGCAAGGCTGTGGTCCAGCTGCAGACCGGCAGCAGCTGGTATATTTAATGTAATATATTTCAAACGTTGATTCACAAAGGGGAACACTGGAGCATGGCTCATCACAGAGGTGGCCCCACCTGGAGGCCAGGGGCCGTTCTATGCCCTCCATGTCAGTCAATCATTGGCCATGGTTACAGGGGAGGGTGTAACTGCTGAGGCAGTTCCCATTTGGTCCAGGGCAATGCCTCAGAGAAGGGGCAGCTGTGTGAAGGGGCGCCAGTGGGCATGAAAAGCATCCAGTACCCTCTGCCGGTCTCTATCACCTGACACTATAGGACCCCAGGAACTGGGGTAAAACCACCCATTGCCCAGCTTTCATGCTTCCACTAGGACCCCAGGAGTGTCCTTGGGTAAGACCACTCTTAACTGAACTCCTTATTGCCAGCAGGAACCAACTGGGGCCCCCGGCAAAACTCCTACCACTCACCGCCTCCCTCCACTGTCTGCCTTGGGTCCGGGGGACTAATCTCATTGTGCTCTTTGTCTCTCTGTATGTCAAGTTCAAGTCTCCCGGGCCACCCCTTATCCCCATACAGCTCTGTATCTCCCCTTCTCTTGCTCCTTTTCCCACCTCTCCCCTACTCTCAAAACCCTCCCACTGTGCCCTCTGAGGAACCCCGGTGGCGCAGTGGTTAAGAGTTCAGCTACTGTCTTAGTCATCTGGTGCTGCTATAACAGAAATACCACAAGTGGATGGCTTAACAAAGAGAAGTTTACTTCCTCGTGGTAAAGTAGGCTAAAAGTCCAAATTCATGGTGTCAGCTCCACGAGAAGGCTTTCTCTTTCTGTCGGCCTTCTTGGACTAAGAGCTTCTCCGCGCAGGGACCCTGGGTCCAAAGGAGGAGCTTTGCTCCCGGCCCTACTTTCTTGGTGGTATGAGGTCCCCCACTCTCTGCTTGCTTCCCTTTCCTTTTATCTCTTGTAAGATAAGAGGTGGTACAGGCCACACCCCAGGGAAACTCCCTTTACATTGGATCAGGAATGTGACCTTAGTAAAGGTGTTACAATCCCACCCTAATTCTCTTTAACGTAAAATTACAATCACAAAATGGAGGACAACTATACAATACTGGGAATCACCGCCTAGTCAAAGTGACACACACATTTTTTGGGGGACATAATTCAATCCATGACAGCTGCTAACCAAAAGGTCAGCAGTTCAAATCTACCAGCCGCTCCTTGGAAACCCCATGGGGCAGTTCTACTCTGTCCTATAGGGTCGCTCTGAATTGGAATCAACTCAATGGCGAAGGGTAATGGGTGCCCTCTGAATTCATGGCCAGTCTCACATCCTGAAACTTTTCTCCGGACATTCCCTTGACCTTGCTCCAAACTGAAAATGGACACCCTCCAGCCCTTTGTGGAGGGCATCGCTCTCTCTAGCACTTTTTTTAAAAATTTTTTTAAAGCAACCTGTGCACAGTGGAATGGAACTGGTCCTGTAGCAGCCCCGTGACCAGTTGGGGACGGGACCATGTTCCATTGTCCATTGTTCCATAGGGTTTTCGCTGGCGGAGTTTTCAGAAGTAGATCACCAGGGCTTTCTTCCTAGTCCATCTTAGTCCGGAAACTTCCCTGAAACCTCATCAGCATCACAGCAACAGGCAAGCCTCCAATGACAGACAGATGGTGGCTGAGCATGAGGTGCGTTGGCTGGGAATTGAACCCAGGTCTCTGCATGGAAGGTGAGAATTCTACCACTGAACCACCACTGCCCCTCTCTACTCCCCTTATAATCCTATGACCTCAACATCCAGGTGGATGGTCCCTCCAAAGCCCTGCCCATTCTCCTCTGATGATTCGACCTCCAACCTATCCCAGTGTCCACTGCCATTACCATATTGTAGTCTTTCTCACGGCCCATACTTTAAACTCTGTGGCCACAATCCCAAGCACGCACCGACCAGTCACCACGTCCTACCTTTCCAGGTGACTTCCTCCAGTGCCCGCCTCCATACCTTCAAACTCTGGGACTTCCAGTTTGCTGACTCTACCACATTCTCACTGTTATAGCCCTCTTTTGTCTTCCCCCTTCCTTCCCAGGGTTGGGAGGGCACTGACATTCCTGGCAGCAACCACCAGCTCCCTGGGTCTTCTCTCCATCAGACCAGCATCCCCAGGCCCTTGCTGTCTCCTCAGGTTGCGGACCACAGACTGGCTACTCTTTCACATCCTCATCTGGTCATCTGTTTGTGTCCTCCTCCCACTGGACCGTATATCCTCTGATGGCAGCAACTGTGTTTCTCTTACCTCGATCTCCTGCTGCCCAACACAGGACTGGACACAGAGTTGGTGCTCAGTGGGGGTTTGTGGAATGAGTGCATGGATGGGAGATG